GGCAATATGCATACTTGGGACAGAGAAGATAGCTTATGGATTATGATTCCACTCCTGGCATAAAGCTTTCACACACATATGCCTGTGCCACAAACTGTACCACCTAAACTGAAATCCTTCACTACAAGTTGAAAACTACTGGAGACTTCTGTTCCGCTATCTAGTTCCTCACTGTGCATCCTCAATTCAGCTACCAACAATGCCTTTTCTTTTAAAATGCGCAGAGCTAAAATGGCTGGAAGTTCTATGCTACTCAAGACGTCAGAAAGAAGACTTCCTTTACCTGGGGTGATGACTGTGCCCTACTCCCTGCTATATTGCTGTCAAACAAATAAGCCTGCTCTGTCTATCACAGTTCAGACTTGTGAGCTATTCGTACCTACAGAAAAGCATTTGCAGACTAATTTGCACCTGAGATTTAAAACAGTGTACATTTTCTCCCTTGCTCTACCCAAATTTCCTCTTTTAACCTAACATGTCTTTTAGCTTTATGTGCTTGAATCTCACGCCAGGTGCAAACACGATGATGCTCAGCTGACGTTTGGGAAATCTCCTCTTGAAGATGTGAACAATAAAACTCTCTCTTTTCACTGTTATGCCCCAAACACAGAGTGTCTTGGCAGGACAATCTAAAATATCCGCAGACAGCAACAGCAGAAATGGTGGTATCTTGCCTTTTTTCATATAACAGAAGCATCTCTAAAGACAGGAGGAATAAATAAAATAAGAACAATAAGACTACCAGTCATTTTTTTCCAATCAAGCAAATCTGCCTTGCCTCAGGAAATCCTGTAACAGGATTACAACTCAAGATACTGTGTTCTGGTACTTCAAGAGAAATACCCATTAGAGGGACTAGATAACTTTTTTCAGTTTACAACTCCCATTCTAATAAACCCTGAAGTATTTTACTCGGCTTTGATTTATGCTGGTTTTTTCCCCTGCCAAATAACCGATCAATGGATAAAAATCATACTTTCTTCCCTGAAGACAGTTACCAAGGCAGTGAATAACTCTGCACATAGTTTTAAGAATGGTAAAACAAAGGACAAGAAGCAATATTGAACATGCCTAGATTGAAATAAAACGTTTAAGACATTCATGGCAAGACAATAAATAAGAATGCAGAAATGTAAGTTGGACTATTGCTGCTGTTTCAGTAGCAAAACTCGCATTATGACTTAGAAAACTGGACTGCCTCACGGACATATCGCTGCACAACGGTCTCTATTTCAACAGCCAGAACAGTGGGCTCTTCTTGGATACCACAGTCAGAGACTAATCATCAGGAAATCACACAACCAAGGAGAATATGTATCACTTCCCACCTAGTCTAAAAAAAAGCACTAAAGAAAAAAGTAGAGCATGCCCTCCGAAGAGATTTGCAGCAGAAGATGCAGAAGGCAAACAGACGAAATTAAGGAACATAGTAACTGATAATCAACAATCACATTTCAGAAAAAGATGCAAGAAATAGGTAAGGAACAACCTGCTTATAACAAACTTTCTTACTAAGTTCAGTTAGAGACTGAATTATAGGCAGCATTTTACTTAACTCCATGAGAGTCTAAATATTTAAGAACCACATAAACGTCTATCTTTTATGAAATTCAACTAATTCAGCATAATATTGTTTACAGTAATTTCAAAAGAAAAGTTACACAATATTATAAATATTTCTCTTATGTCAGAGCACCTTGATTTGTTTCATCTAATCATTCTTCAACTGACGTAAAGGTTACTTGCAAGGTACCTTGCAAAATAAGTATTCATTATGGATGAGATATACAGTTATTGCTTATCTATGACGCAGCTACCTTTCTTGCTTTTCCCTTTAGAGGAGTAGTGCCAGACAATGTGTCTTCAGAATCCCCACTAGTAGCAGAAGAAATAAAAAGTTAAAGACATGTTCCCCCCACCATGATGATAATCTTACAAGTGCATCTAGTTTTGAAAGACTAGCAAAAAGGTGGATACAGTCATAAGTACACAGTACTACTGGGGAGTTCTTTACCGCATCTCTCATTGTGAAAGATGGGTAAGTTCTTCTCATTATTGTCCGCAATGTACTTGCCAAACAAAACTACCTAACACACAAATCTTTGTGTTTTAGTGTGTGTGATTTTATGACAGTCACTTTTCAGTTGTCCACTTTTTGACAAATGCTGCACACCTACTTTCTTGCACATGTAAACACAAATCCCTAAGGCTGTATCTATTATTTTGTTTCATATACAAAAAAGAAGCAGATACACAAAGGTAAGCACATAACTAAGGAGGTAGCATCTGGCACTGATTTTTCTCTAACGCAACAGCAGAAATTTTGACAGGGAAAGGAAAAACACAGCCGTCCGAGAGCAATCACTCAGAAAGGGTGAACGCACTCCACAAAACACCGTACTTTCCCAGAATAAATATCAGCAATAATTTTGAAAGGGAGCACAGGCTGAAAAAAAGCAGTAAGCACCTTTAAAAAAAAAATCCTTTACATCACCGTATTTTTAAATCCCTGTTTAGGGATTTTACTGGTATATACATCTGCACCCATGTCTAGGAATGCAACTGAACATATTAAGTTGCAGGATGCAAGCTGCACCCACCTTAATATTTCCCATCTCAGTATAAAGATGTAAGTAGTATTTTTAAACATCAACCACAGCAGTAGTATTTCCAACAAAGAACTTGGGTCCAGACACAACTCTAGGAAGTACAGTATCTCACATTATGCAGCACTCCAAAGAACATAGCTGAGAGGAAGAAGTGTGACGGGTTTATTATAGATATGCAATGCCAAGTCAGCGTAGTAATATCCATCTGATGAAGTAATCTATAGAAGCAATAGAGTAGACTTCAAAAGCCACCACGAAATAATTTAGCAATTATTGTGGTCACTAGTACAAAGAGTAAGACTGGAAAGACAGACAGACAGACACAAGAAATAAATTAAAATAAATAAATAAATTTAAGATAGTCAGAAAGTCCAAGCTCTTGTAGACGAGAAGCAAAGTGTTATTTCAAGATATAAATCCCCACCAAATATTTTCCTAAATCAAGTGAGCTCCCTATAAAACACACCCAAAGACCACAGTCAAGCAGCACAAGAAAGCTGCAATATCTGAAAAATGCTCCCCGACAACTCCTGGCAGAAGAGAATACCTGTGCCTTAAAGGTGAAAACGTCTGGGCCACGATTTCTCAGGAATTTAAAGAAGTGAAGGATCCACACTTTATTATAACGCTGGCTCTCAACTTCCTACTCACAAACAGCCCTATAAAAATCTCTATCAGCCTTTACTCCTTCTTCCTGTATTTATCACTCATTTTAGGTTCAGTCTCTCCTGGTTTTTGTCTTTCTCTTCCTCCTTCGTCCCCGCGACGCCCGCCACACCTTCCCGCAAACCCCCACACCGTGCCGA